TAGTGGTTTCAGAAGTAGAACTCAATGATTCATCACTTCCATAGGACACCCAGTGTCCATCCCAACCTTAATGCCCATCACCCATTTAGCCCATCCCCCCCGCCCACCTCCCATCCAGTAACCTGCAGTTTGTTCTCCATATTTAAGAGTCTCTTATGGTTTGCCTCCCTCTCTGTTATCTTATTTCACTCAGCATAATAACCTCTCGTTCTATCCACTTTGTGGTAAATGGCAATATTTCTTTCTTTTTGATCACCAAGTAATATTTCATTGTGATATATATATACATCTTCTTTATCCATTCATCCATTGATGGACATTTGGGTTCTTTCCATACTTTGGCTATTGTTGCTAATGCTGCTATTAACATTGGGCTGCATGTGCCCCTTCGAATCAGCATTTTTGTATCCTTTGGATAAATACCTAGTAGTGTAATTGCTAGGTCATAACGTAGTTCTATTTTTAATTTTTTGAGGAACCTCCTTACTGTTTTCCAGAGTGACTGCACCAGTTTGCATTCCCACCAACAGTGTAAGAAGGTTCCCTTTTCTCTGCATCGTTGCCAACATCTGTTGTTGCCTGAGTTGTTCATTTTAGCCATTCTGACAGGTGTGAGGTAGTGTCTCATTGTGGTTTGATCTGTCACTCGCTGATGATGAGTAATATTGAGCATCTTTTCATGTGTCTATTAGCCATCTGGATGTCTTCTTTGGAAAAGTGTCTATTCATGTCTTCTGCCCATTTCTTCACTGGATTATTTGTTTTTGGGTGTTGAGTTTGATAAGTTCTTTATAGATTTTGGATACTAACCCTTTATCCAATATGTCATTTGCAAATATCTTCTCCCATTCTGTTGGTTGCCTTTTAGTTTTGCTGATTGTTCCTTCACTGTGCAAGAGTTTTTTTTTTTATCTTTTTTTTCATGTTTATTAATTTTTGAGAAAGAGAGAGAGAAAGACAGAGCATGGGTAGGGGGAGGGGCAGAGAGAGAGGAAGACACAGAATCCAAAGCAGGCTCCAGGCTCTGAGTGGTCTGTACAGAGCCCAATGTGGGGCTCAAACCCACAAACTGTGAGATAATGACTTGAGCCAAAGTCAGATGCTTAACTGACTGAGCCATCCAGGCACCCCAGAATCTTTTTTATCTTGATGAGGTCCCAATAGTTCATTTTTGCCTTTATTTCCCTTGCCTCTGGAAGCATGTCAAATAAGAAGTTGCTGCGGCCGAGGTCAAAGGTTGCTGCCTGTGTTCTCCTCTAGGATTTTGATGATTTCCTATCTCACATTTAGGTTTCATCCATTTTGAATTTATTTTTGTGTATGGTGTAAGAAAGTGGTCCAGGGTCATTTTTCTGCATGTCACTGTCCAGTTTTCCCAACACCATTTGCTGAATATCCATTGGATATTTTTTCCTTCTTTGTTGAAGATTAGTTGGGCATACATCTGTGGGTCCATTTCTGGGTTCTCTTTTCTGTTCCATTGATCTATGTGTCTTTTTTTGTGCCAGTACCATACTGTCTTGAAGATTATAGCTAAGTAATACAGTTTGAAGTCCAGAATTGTGATACCTCCAGCTTTGGCTTTGTTTTTCAACATTATTTGGCTATTTGGGATCTTTTCTGGTTCCATGCAAATTTTAGAATTGTTTGTTCTAGCTCTGTGAAGAATGTTGGTGTTATTTTGATAGGGATTTCATTGAATGTGTAGATTGCTTTCAAACAATATTTGTTCTCCCAATCTATGAGCATGGAATGTTTTTCCATTTCTTTGTGTCTTCTTCAATTTCTTTCATAAGCTTTCTATAGTTTTCAGTACACAGATGTTTTACCTCTTTTTTTGAAAAATTTTAAATGTTTATTTATTATTTTGAGAGGCAAAGACAGAGCATGAGCAGGGGAAGGGCAGAGAGAGAGAGAGACACACACACACACACAGAGTCCAAAGCAGGCACCAGGCTCTGAGCTGTTAACACAGAGCCCAACACGGGGCTTGAACTCACGGACCACAGGATCATGACCTGAGCTGAAGTTGGGTGCGTAACCAACTGAGTCACCCAGGTGCCCCTGGGTCTTTTACCTCTTTGGTTAGATTTATTCCTAGGTATCTTATGGTTTTCGGTGCAGTTGTGAATAGCATCAATTCCTTGATTTCTCTTCCTCCCACTTCATTATTGGTGTAGAGAAATGCAACTGATTTCTGTATGTGGATTTTATATCCTACAACTTTGCTGAATTCATATATCAGTTCTAGCAGTTTTTTGGTGGAATCTTTTGGGGTTTCCATATAGAGAATCATGTCATCTGCGAAGAGTGAAAATTTGACTTCTTCTTTGCCCATTTGGATGCCTTTTATTTATTTATTTATTTATTTATTTATTTATTTATTATTTTGTTGTTGTTGTTGTTGTCTGATTGCTAAGTCTAGGACTTCCAGTGCTGTGTTTAACAACAGTGGTGAGAGTGGGCATCCTTGTCGTGTTCCTGACCTTAGAGGGAAAGCTCTATTTTTCCCCATTGAGGATGATATTAGATGTGGGTCTTTTATATATGGCCTTTATGCTGTTGAGGCATATTCCTTCTATCCCTACTTTCTTGAGGGATTTTATCAAGAAAGGATACTGTATTTTGTTAAATGCTTTTTCTGCACCTATTGAGAGGATCATATGGTTATCCTTTCCTTCACTAATGTGGTGTATTACATTGATTGATTTGTGACTATTGAACCAGCTCTGTAGCCCAGGAATAAATCCCACTTGATTATGGTGAATAATTCTTTTAATGTACTATTGAATTCAATTTTCTATTATCTTGTTGAGAACTTTTGCATCTAGGTTCATCCGGGATATTGGTCTGTAATTCTCCTTTTTACTGGGTCTTTGTCCGATCTTGGAACCAAGGTAATGCTAGCTTCATAAGAATGAGTTTGGAATCTTTCCTTCCATTTCTATTTTTTGGAACAGTTTGATAAGAATAGATATTAACTCTTCTTTAAATGTCTGGTGGAATTACCCTGGGAAGTCACCTGGCCCAAGACTCTTGTTTGTTGGGAGATTTTTGATAACTGATTCAATTTCCTTGCTGGTTATTGGATTGTTCAAAATTTCTGTTTCTTCCTGTTTCAGTTTTGGTAGAGTGTGAGTTTCTAGGAATTTTTCCATTTCTTCCAGATTGCCCAGTTTGTTGGCATATAATTTTTCATAGTATTCTCTTAAAATTGTTTGTATTTCCGTGGTGTTGGTTGTGATCTCTCTTCTTTTATTCACGATTTTGTCTATTTGAGTCCTTTCTCTTTTCTTTTTGATAAGTCTGGCTAGGAGGGTTATCAATTTTGTTTATCCTTTCAAAAAACCAGCTTTTAGTTTCATTGATCCGTTCTACTGTGTGTGTGTGTGTGTGTGTGTGTATTTTCTTTTCTTTTTTTCTTTTTTGGTTTCTATATCATTTATTTCTTCTCTTCTCTTTATTATTTACCCTCTTTTGCTGGCTTTAGTCTTTATTTGCTGCTCCTTTTCTAGCTCCTTTGGGTGTAAAGTTAGGTTGTGTATTTGGGACCCTTATTGCTTCTTAATATAGGCCTGAATTGCAATGTACTTTCCTCCTAGAACTGCCTTTTTCTGCCTCCAGAGAGTTTGGACTGTGGTGCTTCCATTTTCATTGGCTTTCATTCATTTTTTATTTCTTCTTTAATTTCCTGGCTAACCCATTCATTCTTTATTAAGATGTTCTTTAGTTTCCATGTATTTAAGGACTTTCCAAATTTTTTCTTGTGGTTGATTTCAAGTTTCATAGCATGGTGCTCTGAAAACATTCATGGTATGATCTTGATCTTTTTGTACCTATTTAGGGCTGGTTTGTGATCCTGTATGTGATCTATTCTGGAGAATGTTCCATGTGCACTGAAGAAGAATGTATATTCTGCTGCTTTAGGGTGAAATGTTCTGAATGTATCTGTTAAGTCCATCTGGTCCAGTGTGTCATTCAAAGCCATTGTTTCCTTGTTGATTTTCTGCTCCGATGACCTGTCTATTGCTGTAAGTGGAATGTTGAAGTCCCCTACTATTATGGTATTATTATCAATGAGTTTCTTTATGTTTGTTATTAACTGATTTTTATATTTGGGTGTTCCCAAGTCAGCCCTTCTAACAATAGTTCTTCCTTTCACTTTTCTTTTTGCTCTAGACAAATTTCAGGCAGCTAAGGAGACACTCTCCTTGAAAGGCTTCTTATTTTTGATTCAAGTAGACTTGTTTCGGTCTCAAGTCATTAGCCTTGAGAGGGAAGAAGACTCGCTGGATGTTTCACATTCATGTTTATTTGATCTTCCCAAGCTTATAAAACAGTTATGATCATTATTACTTATTTTACAGGTGAGAAAATTTAAGTATGTAAAAAACTTGCCCAAGTTCTCCTAATACGTGAAGCTAATACTCCATACTATAACTACAACCCAGGTCTGACTCCAGAGCTTGGGCTGTTAACTGCCAAACCCTTCTAACTCATAATCTTAAAACAATCGATATCATTGATTAAATCATTGTTATGAGCCAGGTACTGCAACAAGAAGTTTGCACACCTTACTTTAGTAATTCTCGAATCCCCATGTCTACGTGGACTTACTACAGCGGAGTGTCTGGCATATAATAGACATTCAGTCAAGATTTATTATATGAATAAATGAACAGCCAATGGGGGTAGATATCATTGGCCCCATCTTATGATAAAGAAAAGGAAGCTAAAAAGAAAGAAAGAAAGAAAGAAAGAAAGAAAGAAAGAAAGAAAGAAAGGAAGAAAATGAAGCTCAAAGAGATGAATACGCCTAAGGTCACACAGCTCTCAACTGGCAGAGTCCAAAACTTACCAGACTGTGTCTGTTCCAGTGTCAGAGGGTTGGAGAGTGTCAGCCAGTGAAAACAGAGCACTCTAACAGTAAGAGCACAGAATTAAGGTTGCTTATGCTGTTTGGGATGCTAAAGAATCCCATCTCTTCTTACTTCCCCTAGGATCTGTCCCACTGTAGCCTGATTCCACTTGGAGCCCAACATCTGAGAGGTAAGTGATTCTCCTGTCTTCACATAAGAGTGGTTGAAAATATCATATTTTAAACAACTCCTGTTTGGATTATTTTGCATCTGTTTTCTTTCTAAGTTTGCTAGATAAATTGTCTTGACCTAGGGCCTAGGCTAAACTGAAACTCTTCTAAAAAACTAAACAACCCATTCATCCAAGCAAAGTACATTCTCGAGGATCTCTCAGTCTTCTCAGTGCTCTGGCTAAGGTCATCGAAGTGCAGGACTGGGACTGAAGTATTGCCTGCAGAGCATTAGTCCCATAGACATAAATCTTTGTCTATATTTCTATCTGGTTAACTCAAGCATCTCAGCAAAAACATGCTGAGATACACTGGAGCAGGGCTGGGTTTTGCACTCACATCAGAGAAAAATAATAGAAGTGATCTATAGGGAGTGGGGAAAAGTAAGACTACCTTTGCTAATATCTAGTTTTAACTATGGCTGTCATAGGCAGATATTATAAATCCAACAAAGGGTTACTGAGCACCTCTATACGTAAGGAAATATGTTAGCACTTGTGGACACAGAAATGAAATTAGTTAATTCCTATCTTGATTAGCTCATAGTCTAGTAAGGAAAACAGGCATATAACAATTAATTACAAGTGATATGAGTGTTGCAAAGAAGAAACACTAAGGCAAGTTATATGTTAAGTGAGTTAGCTTTAGCTTAAGCCATTTGTTCCACACCAAGAGACTTGGGTAGAATTACCTTCCGCAGAATCCCCAGTTGGAAACTGGAACTGGTAAGAAGGATATTCGGTACCCATGTTATATCCATAACATCTAGGGGCAGTGTCTGCAGAAAATATGATATTGGGTGGCTTCTATCACCAATGTCTGCTGTATGCAAGACAACTCATCAAGCTACATTGCAATACAGGTTTTACAGATGTGGAAACTGAGGCTCAAAGAGGTAACTTGCCCAGGGCCTCACATCTTTGGCTTTGAATTCAGATTGGGATTTTAATCTCAATTTTGTCTAAATTCAGAGTGAATGATTTTTTTTTTTTTTGGTTCAATCTATTTCCAGGACATAATGTTATGAGCAAGAGTTGAGGATTCTAGTCCAAGATCTAATACTAAACAGTTGTATGTCCTTAGACAACTCTTTCCTTATCTGTTGGAGGAGGTGTTAAATACACACCTTGCCTACTTCATAGTTTATCAAAATGACAATGAGATAGGAGAATACTTAGATCACATACAATTCTCTGCATATATGTGGGATAGTCCCAATTATTATTATTTTTTTAATGTTTATTCATTCTTGAGAGACAGAGCATGAGCAGGGGAGGGGCAGAGAGATAGGGAGACACAGAATCCGAAGCAGGCTTCAGGCTCTGAGCTGTCAGCACAGAGCCTGATTTGGGGCTTCAACTCAAGAACCGTGAGATCATGACCTTAGCTAAAGTCGGATGCTTAACTGAGCCACCCAGGTGCCCCTAGATGTTATGGATTATTGAATGACATTAAAAGGTTGCCTCTGCACTACATAATCCCTGTATTTCTTGTTTACTCATCGTCAAGGCTAGGAGGGAGAGAAAGCCTGACTAGGGTGTGGGATTGGAACTTAGCAATAAGACTCATAAACATGACCATGACCCAAATCATTTTCCATTTCTTGAGACTGAAATTCTTCCTCTCTAAAGTTGATACTTTTCTCTAACTATTGACTATTAGGAGGCTTCTGGTAATTGAAAAACATGATATATACTAAATTGCTTATATTAAGTTTTCTCCACCTTGAATAGGGCTGCAGGTTGCATGCACACCACAAGGACCTGGAAATGCAAAAAATGTTTAAATCTAAGTGGGCTAAACTCTGTCAGCTCATCAGTTGTAAGTGGTATTCAGCACTAAGTGAATTGCATTTAATGAATTAAAGATGAAAGAGACAGCAGGGAGCACGAATGCAGGAGAAGACCTTTCATTTCAAATTTAAAGGGCTAATTTTATGACTATTTGAGTTCTGGAGATCAGAATTTTTCCACTCTTCCCCTAATTGTTTACTCAAACGGCATGTACTATTTGAAAAGACGGGGGCGTTGGGAATGGACAGAGAAACCAAGCCAATCCCTCAAATTGATTAACAAGTCCTACCATACGTTAGCCACTGAGTCCTCTCCAGGAATAGGAGCTTGCAGATAGACAGGCAAGATGGGTTAGGTTCAGGTTGACTGTGAATCTGAGGATCAGATTCTAGATTGCAAACAACCCTTAGTGTCATTGCCCACATTTCAGCTCTGTCCTCAAGCAAGTTATAGAGTCTATAGCTTTGAAAGGACTAGATCATCCTTACGATGCCTTCTTATCTTATTCTCCCCACTCTAACTCCTCACCAGGTGGTAATCCGAACTCTGCTTACATTCCTCCAATGATGTGGAACTCATAAGTTACTTTATGGAGACACTCATCCCATCTCCACCCCTACCCTCCCAAGTGCATTTTCAGTTAGCTCCTTCCTTGTCCTTGAGGACAAGTATGCTACATGAGAGTCTTTCGGAGACAGTTATACGTGTATCCCATTTCCTCCTTGCCCCTTGATTTAACTTAGTATCTTAGTGCCTTGGTTTTCTGACCTGGAAAATGGCAGAATTGCAGTCAATATTGAATGAAATAATGAATGTAAAGTGGTTTTTAAGATATTTGAATCTTTGTACACATAGAGAGTGAAGCTCAATGGGACTGGGAAGCTAATAATTCCTTTTTGGTTGCTCTTTTAATATCTTCACATATTGATTAGATGGTGCTTAGATGGGTATGATAACAGCTCAACCCAGCTTTATTGAGATTGTCCCAATTTAAAATGTTTTATCACATTGTTCTTGTAAAACATAGCAAGGTGCACATTCAGTTATGCAAAACATCCTCTCAGACTGCTTTATTTTTTTTTAACTTTTATGTTATATATATTTAGCAAAATCAAATATAAAATATAACAATTGCACACTTGCTGAATTTCAGTTTCAGAGCTTCAACAGTAGCTTAATTCCTACATTATGTGACAGCTGTGGTATTTAATAATCCAAACCATCCTGAACACTTGTCCATGTTTTATTTTAATTCCAGTACAGTTGGAATAAAATGTTATATTAGTTTCAGGTGTACAATGTAGTGATTCAACAATCCTATACATCACCCAGTGCTCATCACAACAAGCGCCCTCCTTAATGCCCGTTACCTATTTCACCTCAGACTGCTTTCTTGAACCTAGAAGTAGCAGAGAAGTCTTTATCAGGCCCCATCATTTATTTTTGATTGCAAAATAACAAGATTACCAAAGGTATGGGGCTCAAGGAAGACGGGAAAACAGGGGAATGAAAAGCTAAGAACTCGTGATAGCAAGGCCTGCTGGCCCTTCTCTCAAGTCCAGACCACTTCTGCTGAGACTCGATGCCCCTGCTTGCTGATTCAGCCTCCTCTTGTTTTGACAAGATTTTCATGACTCGAGCCCATCTTACTTTTCTTATCCTAATTTCATGTCAGACTACTCATAGAGATTCTTTTGTTTGTCTTTCCCCTAGCCCCACCTATGAACACAGATTTATATAAGGCTCGCGGGCCCAGCACTGTGCAAAGTGTATGGGGGCTCACAGGAAAGAGACTGCTTCCTGGAGGGCTCCAAAAATGTGTCTTTCCGCAGCTCAGGGAAGGGAGGTATTAATAAGGGCCCGGGTAGTGAGAGGAAGCCACATCGAGGAGGCTGAATGCGAGCTGGGCATAGGAAGAAGAAAATAATTGGCTTTCCGGTGAGGGGAGAGAGCTTGAAAGCAGAAGTGAGCAGGATTACATGTTTAGAAGCGGAAGTAGGGGCTTCATTTCCTTATGTGTAAAACGCAAATCATTATACCTACTCCACAAGACTGCTGTGAGGATTATGTGGTCTGGTAGAGAGATGGCAAATACCTGTTCAGCATGTTGCATTTATTCCTCCATTGTCTGTGGCGAACACTGGCAGTGCTTTACGGCATTCTACCAGTGAGCCCGGCCCCAGGTCCAGGACACTTTTAAATAAGGCTCCAGACAGCTAGTACCAATTAGAGTCTATAAGCTGACATAAATTAGGCACTGAAGAAACGACATGTATTATTACCGCAAATACCCACACAATGTCCGGTACGACTGGATAAAAACAACTTGTCCTTTCCATTCCTGTCAAGTACAAATGCAAAACCTCTGCATTCCCGGTATGTCAGGGGCCCACCATGAAGGTTTGAATGAGACTCAGAGCCAGTCCTGCTGTAGAGGTTATCTGCCATATGTTGTAACATCTCTTGTGAGCTGTAAGTTCTAAGCGCACTTGATCTTCAGGAGTTTGCAAACCTCCTACTTGCACTGAAGTCATCATTTCACCACCCGTATAATGTCAGTACCACTCAGGGGCTGAATTAAACAGGCAAGTACAATAAAGAGGCAAAATGGAGTCTCTCTTTGGGGTTTTTCTCTGACTCCATGTAATGCTCGTTTATATTTTGATAACTATTTATAATACTCTGTGACAGTGTTATGATACCTGCCCAGTGGCTCATCTTGCCCTCCACCAGCCTCCAGGTCTTTTCCTTCATATAAGAAAACTCACCCGTTCCTTCTAGGTCTTCTTCTCTGCTGCACTGAGAGAAATGAATGGTGCAAATGGGTCATGTACTGCTTGGACAATCAGTTAGAGTTCTGACCGGTGACTAAACAGGGACATTCAGCCTGTGTTATGGCTGCCAGCAGGGACAGTAGGCAAAGCGGAGTAGGCAGGGGAAGGAGGAGACAGGGAAACATGATCTTAGGAGGAATGTTAAATAGGCTCATGGAGCTGGAAGGCTGCTGGAGCGAGTGTGGCTCCTTAATGGAGTTATGCCCATTAGAAAGGAAAACTGGGAAACTAACCGGGGATACTTGTAGGGAGCGTTCATGACATGTGTAACTTCATAAGCAGCTAGGCCATGGGTCCAGCAGAGCCAGAAGAAAGGTTGAACATTACAAACCTCCCAGCAGGAACCATAGAGACTGAGAGCAAGGTCAGCTCAACTGGGACCCTCTCTCTTGCCCCCAAGCCAGTTACTTTTCACCTTGCCCGAGCCAGCCCTGCACTAGTCCACTGTTTGCATGCGACCATACAGACTCAGGCAGAGCCTTGGAAGGAAGCAATCCACATATCACACACCTCAGGGGCCACTTTTGCAGCCAAATATTTTCTACCTTCAAAAGTGTAGATAGTGCTCAAGCAGAAAGGATCTTTTGAGAGTATTAAACCTAGGGTTTCTCAAGTGTTACCAGAGAAACTTCTGCATCAGCATCATCTGTGGAGCCTGATTAAAATGCAGATTATCTGGTCCCATCCCAGACCCACTTAATTACACTGTCTAGGGGTGAAGCCCAAGAAGCTGCATGTTAAACTCCCAAGAGATTTTTATGTACCCTGAAACTTGAGAACCTCTGACAAATGTCAGAGCTCTGTGTGGTCAGTCACCCAAGATTCCCAAGGTAAAATCTGAAGACCTCTTACCACAGAATCATTTGAAGTGCCTATAGAAAATTCAGATTTCTGGGTCTCTTCTTAACTCTTCTGAATCAGAATTTCTTATGTGTGATAAAATTTGAGAAACCCAATTCCTTCATTGTACAGATACAGGAACTGGCCCAGAGAGAAGAAGTGACTTGCCCAAGGTTGTCAGTCTAGATGGTGGCAGAGCTAGGGTCACATCCAAGTCTCCAGACAAGTCTAAACAGTATGTCCCTGGGGCGCCTGGGTGGCGCAGTCGGTTGGGCGTCCGACTTTAGCCAGGTCACGATCTCGCGGTCCGTGAGTTCGAGCCCCGCATCAGGCTCTGGGCTGATGGCTCAGAGCCTGGAGCCTGTTTCCGATTCTGTGTCTCCCTCTCTCTCTGCTCCTCCCCCGTTCATGCTCTGTCTCTCTCTGTCCCAAAAATAAATAAACGTTGAAAAAAATTAAAAAAAAATAAATAAAATAAACAGTATGTCCCTGTGGTTACCTCTTGAGGATTGTTTATGTCTCAGTTTAGCTCTCATGGCCACAAGTTCCCTTACTTATAAAGTCTGGAGTTCAAGGGCAAAAATGCAAGTGCTCTGGGTAGTTGCATGGCAATAGGTCAAAACTTCTCCAAAGTGTTGGCTAGAACAGCTTGAAAATAAGGTATTGTAAGGTCGCAATGCTCTATTATAAGCAGCAAGGTACTTCAGGCTCTTCTCCAAATGGAGTTTCAAGGGACTCCAGTACGGATAGTTTCATATGCAGGGAAACTGTCAACCGTGTCTTTGAGCCAAATGGAACACAAACACCAAAATGGCCTGCCTGTAGAAGTTTACTAGACCTATTTTTGTGTTGTTGTTTTTGTAGGTGAAATACATACCAATCAAGTAAAAGCTTAAACGTATGCAGTTTTGTGTCAGATCTGGTTCAGGCTCACTAGTCTGATTTCTGAAGTCTGTGCATTTGAGGTCCCAGCTCAGTCTGCTTTATCTCCAGACTGGCATGCTTTACCCCATGATCTGCTGGGACAATCTAATAGAAGGCCACTGACCTCTAAAAGGAGAGCAATTTCCAAAATGATAAGACAAGATAGATTTTCTTAGAGGGATTAAGCAATTGCCATTGACAACAGCGCCGTTGTATAATTTGCATTGGACAATTGCTTACAATTTTAGCAAGTGTTTCACCAATGTTACATAATTAGAAAAATTAATGCTCTGCCACCCTGAATACATACTTCTGTAAAGAAACAGGAGACCTCGACAGATAGTCTGGAACTGCTGAGGGTCAAAGGAAAGGGCAGAAAGCAGGAACAGAGAAGTTATAGTCATACTTTCCAACCAACAGGGGAGCTTGGTAGAGAGAGCCATATCCCTTATCTTCAATTCTGAAATCAAAAAGCTCTGTAAAATGGAAGATATTTTTTCATTAATTTGGTGTCAAATCTGACCTAAACTGACATAAACCTAGTCTTGATCTCTTTTAGTATAACTATTTAGACATTTATTTTCCTGCAGAAATGTTAATTGCCTAATTACAGGATGTTTTCCCAGATACAACTGGGAGTGTTATATAATAAGCAGTACATATTCCGTGTTACCTTTCAAAAATTCAAAAAAAATTAAATTCTAAAACACAGTCAGATAACAGACTGCAGACCTAGAAAAATGATAGCTAACATTTATGAAGCCTGTGCCATCTGCACGAAGCTGTGCTAATCTCTTTTCATCTCATTTAATACTTACAACACTATGAGGAAGGTATTAAAATCACCTCCATTTTATTTTAGTTTTTAAATTTTTTTTAACGTTTATTTATTTTTGAGACAGAGAGAGACAGAGCATGAACGGGGGAGGGTCAGAGAGAGGGAGACACAGAATCTGAAACAGGCTCCAGGCCCTGAGCTATCAGCACAGAGCCCAACGCGGGGCTCGAACTCACGGACCGCGAGATCATGACCTGAGCCGAAGTCGGCCGCTTAACCGACTGAGCCTCCCAGGCACCCCAAAATCACCTCCATTTTAAAGTTTGGAAATGGATTCTCAGAGAGGTTAAATAACGTTCCAGAGTCACGCAACTTTTGGCCAAGCCAGGATTTGGACCCAGGTCAGTCTAACTCTAGAACCTACATGCTGAACTCTTGCAGTCTACTGTCTGAGAGAGAGGAACAGTTGTAAAGAACAGTGTGAGCTCTATGGGCTTTATGCAGAAGTACAGTAGGTTACCACCTATTCTATGTCATTTGAATGCCTCCTACTTCCAAATGTGTCCTCTCCCCATTCTTACTCTTCTATGATGCTATAATATGGATTTATTCCTTGAGGTTCATCTGGGTGGCTTTTCTCACAGGGACTACCAACACCAGAAATCCTCTGGGCAGCTTGTTAAAGTACAGATTCCTGGTACCTACCCCAGACCTATTGAATAGAAGACCATCGAATAGGAATTGTTGGGGATTAAGACCAAGTTGATTCTTATGCACATTAAAATTTGAGGAAAAAGAGAATGCCTTGAGAAAGGCCAATCATTAACCCTCATTAATTAATTAACTAACATCTTACCTTACAATTGACACCTAGCTAGACTGGCAGCAATAAACTCATGGATGGGCACCTGGAAAAGAGAAAGACTAGATTGGTGAGTTATGGAAAGAAAGAAGGAAAGAATATGACAGTATCTCCCTACTTTTGCAATATGCGATAAAGGAAGAGCCTCACCAACGGTATTGTTACCTGCATTGAAAAAATTGGGGGAGCATCTGTCTCTGTCTCTCTCTGTCTCTCTCTTTCTCTCTGCCACTCAGAGTACCTATCTACTGTCTCATTGATATTCACCCCACCCTTCTGAAATAGACAAGATAGTCATCCTCATTAGATGAAAGAGGAAATGGAGACCCAAATGAGTTCTTCTGTGTCATCCAACTGATTAATGCTAGTCTTTGCTTAAGTTTCTGGCCACCAATCTTACACAATTTCAGTCTTCCAATAATCTCTTCCATAGATCGAGAGAGGAGAAGCCATCAAACCTAAAGAATCAAGTTTTACATTCAAGGATACACATTTTTGCCCTCTAGTGGCCGATTTTGATACAATTAAATGGTGTGCTACACAAGGGAAGGACCATGAGAGGAATTATGCTGCACAATAGTTCAACTGATATGCCATATGTTTGGGGTTAGTTTTTAACTTTAATGGGTTGCTTTATTCTTATTATCAATGCAAGGATAACTGCTAAACATTTTGATCTTTATACTTCTATGAATGCTCTGTTCTTGTTTACTAAGTTTCCAACTTCACCTCTTCATCTTGCCTGTGGCGGCTTAATCATCTCCATGACAACCAAATGTGACCTTAGATAAGGACTAGGAATCTAGAAAAATATGGATTAACTGCCACTGCAGCAATCAGATCGCCACAGCAATGCAGGATTGGGGCGTTGAGGTTCAAGTCCAACCAGTGATTATTCCAATGAGGACTCAATCCTCTCTAGAGAAGCTTTTCTCTCAAATTTCAATGCACATTTGAATCACCTGGCAAATCGGTTTAAGCGGAATACTAATTCAGTAGGTCTGGGGTGGGGCCTAAGAGCCTGCATTTCTAACGGTCTCCCTGGTGATGCTTATGGTACGGGTTTCCAGATCACATTTTATATAGCAAGGGGCACGAGCCCTCATCATGCCCAAGTAGCTTGTACAAATGAACACATTTGTGGTCCTGGAGGAAGTGCTGTTTCACACAGCGGTACTGATGAGCATGCAGCTCTGATATTATGTACTTGTGTGACCTTGGGTAAACATCTTTACCTTTCTGGGTCTCTGTTTTCTCATTCATGAAATTCTGAGTTTGCCCTGGATAACCTCTAAGATCACTTTGGGTTGTAAAATTCTTTGATTCGCTGATAAAAAAGAGGTACTTGAGAATCAAAGGCTTAGTTTGAGGGCCAATTTACCCTATATTGTATACAAGGGGTGGGTGGGGAGAGAAATCTACTGTGACTTTTGTATTCGTCTTCTTAATTCCAAATCCTCTATGTGTCTTAAGGTAATTTGTCACTTCTGAATGTGCAGAACATTGACATTCTCCATGAGAAGAGACAACATTGAGTAGTGGACAACAATTTTGGCATCTCTCCAGTTCAGCTCTCAGCGTCCCCTTGTGACTGCTTCATAGCCAGCAGTTTTGGCTACTTGCTTCTGATACTATCTTTCTGATAACAGAGGAAACCCTACTGTCCGCCCATTGGTTTCAAATACTGGCACTCAGTTCTCCTTAGTCTCACTTGATTCCAGAAGATACAATGGAGAAGTACACAGAAACACCACCTAGCTTGCAGGTAGAGCATTCCTCTCTTCAGGAAGAAAATCTGTTTCTGCAGCCACAAATACAGCATCTGACAGAAGAGAACCCTGAACCGAGGGGCCAAATCATGCCTGCCCTGGCCACCCCGTTGATGTCTGTACCCTGCTCACTTGAGCATCTCTCTCAGTTTCATGGTGACCCTGACAATCTCTTGACGACTGTCAAGATCCCCAATCCTGCAGATGATGTCCAAGTCAAGTTCTTTTTAAACTACCTAGCTCAGCACATGGAAAGTTGTGGAGTCATATCTGGGCCTAACCAGAGCACTTTGCTGAAACAATATGAAAAGTTTGTTTTTGAGTTCCAGCAATCATTTGGTGAGCCTACAAAACAGGAAACAGACCCCATGAACAAAGAGGACAACTCCTCTCAGCAGAATGCTTCTACTTTCAATCTCCTTGCTCAAAATCTGAGCTGTAATGAAACCAATCAGAGTGACCACTTCCAAGAGGGACTAGCTGACTCCATCCAGGATGAAGTGAGTGACACAGATATGATGGACAACCTTCCAGACCTGATCACTCAGTGTATTCAGTTGGACAAGAAACGTAGTGACAGGCCAGAGCTCCTACAGTCAGAGACGCAGCTCCCAGTGTTGGCTTCCCTGATCCAACACCAACCCTTTTCCAGCCCCACAGATGTATCAGCCAAGGAAGAGCCTATACAGTTGCGTGGAAGCCAGCCACCTCTCACCCCAGCCAAACGAGCCCGCCAGCAAGAAGCTCAGCTGTGCCTCTACTGCAGCCAGGCTGGTCACTTCACAAGAGATTGCCTTGCCAAACGTTCTCGGGCCCCAGCAAGGATAAATAACCCAACTCGCCAGTAAGAGAGCCCAGGCAGGTCACTTTGTAAACGTATATCCCTCTCACCTCCAGCCTTATTAATTTATATCCCGCATTAACATTTCAAATACAGGTGGGGAACTGTGATACCACTTCATAGACAGTCATGAACTTATGTGATTCTGGGAGTTTAAATAATCAGATCTTGTTCATTTGGTGACCCATCACCAAACCAAACCAAACCCAACAATGATGAAAACAATTTGCAGGCACTCTCTGCATTTGGAACCAATAACCCAAGAGTACTGAAACTCTGTAGGCAAAACTGGCCAGTCTAAGCCAATGAAAATATCCCTGAAAGTACCCTGGGAACTCCATTCCCTCCAGTGAATGAGATCTGGGTTGAGTTTGTTGGCCTAAGTCTTCTGGGACTAAGATTAGGCCCAAGACTTTCACCTTCACCCTCATTGGTCTATATTCTAGTTCCCTGTTGGTTTAAGACCTTCGGTTGAATTCCTAATTGCATCCCATATCCTACCAACATTTTTCTTTTCTTTTCTTTTCTTTTTTCATATCCTACCAACATTTTTCTACTGGAGGCTGGAACCTGCTCCACCTATTGAAAAGAGGCCAGCTTCAACACAAACCAACCCTTATGGAAACACAGCTCTACTACCTTTCAATACAGCTATGTATTTTGTTGCCATTTAAAGACTTCTGCTTACCCAAAAAACTGGATCTCTTGGCTATTGACTAACCAGATGGCATGGCCTTTTGAACACTCTGATTGGAACTGTTGGTCCACTTCCTTGAGAACTAGCCTTTCAGGCAGGTACATGTTTTAGTAAGGCCCTATTAATTCCAGATTCCTCCCCTCTTCCTCAATAACCTTTTTTAGGTTATAGTATGTCCAATAGCCAAGTCAAAATGGCCTAGGATAATGACCTCTGACAAATATTTAGTGAGAGTTGGGGAAGGAGTCTTATCATAATTACTATGTCTATTATACCTGGCAGGTAAGGGAACCTAGCTAAATAAATCTCCCCTAAAGACATAGAGTCAGACCCTGTAGTAGTTTCTGACTCCATAGGCCTTAGTGTGGTCACCATTTGGGATCATTGCCCAAATGTTGAGTTCTATACCCTTATGGACCACCTCTGGGGAGCCTCATCTAGTTGAGAATCTTGAAAAGCAATCAATGGTAGACAATTCTCTGAACGATCCCATCTGAAAAATCCTGGGGCAAATATATTAACACCATCTATACATAAAACTTAAGAAGAAGTGAGGGTTTGATTGCTAGTGTTGTGGTTTTAGCACACAGCAGCTCTGTGTATGGATTCCTAATGCTTCTGAACAAAAGTAGTGCCATGTTGGAGAGACACAATTTTCTAAAATGTTACAGATGTGCAGTGATAATTGATGTTTGCTGGTAATCATCAGTCCTCTGTTCCTTGCTTCTTGGTGCTGATGTATGTCCCCATAATGGATTTCATGAAGAAAAATCAGTAATTCCTAGCAACCATCAAGACCTCTCAGAATATGAAGCGTCATTGTACTTTGGCCTTGTTCCTGAAGAATGATACTAACTTTGACAGTACTTAAACCCAGCTAAGGCCTTACTGTTTTCATCCTGTAGCACTAACAAATAGATCGTTTTGTCCATCAATGCCTCGCTAACCACCGTGCCAATCCTTATTTGCATTCACAAGAGGCTTCCTTTATCAACAGTTTGCTATACATCCACCTTACTCCATATGCTCTCATAACAAGGAGACCAGTTGTGCCAAGAAATTCCCATGTGGTACTGGGCTTGTATGAAAGCCTCTGACAAATAGATCTTTTCGAACTTTAAGTGTCTTGCAATTGCCTGGAGGTATCCTGATCTAGCACCACCAGTTCTGTAATAAAGAACTAACCCAATACCCTCCAGTCACTTTCCTTACTGACCCCAGTATGGCCCCAGAATGCTGATGGTAGCATTCAGTTGGCTTCATCACAATCTTTCTTTATATTAGGGATACAATTTGTCATTGTGTGCTCTCTCACAAAGATGCATCACCTTATTTCTTGTTTGGACCTTCCCTCTGCAGCGACATCACCTTCTTCTCCAAAAAATCTTCAGTTTTCAGAGCCTCTCAGAACAGATCATTAATTCTGGGCTCTAAAACCTCTAATTTCTAGAAGCCCCTTGTTGAGGAATTCTCAGACAAGAAATTCTTATGCTCTATGTGATACAATCCAACAGGCATACTGAGCATATGAATAAGATACTGGGATAATGCTTTACTGTCTACTAGCTAGCAACCATTTTATTTACCCCTTCAATATTTTGTTATAATGACACCATTCACTTCAACTAGAATAAACTCTTTATTTAGCATAAAGAGAGTTCTACAGACGTTTGCCCCCGAACTTATACCAAAGGGAACTTCTCTGAGAGTGCAACTAATTAAAATCTACTGAGAACACATGAGCTATAACCTACTTAAAGATGTAGTCTGCAACTACAAAGGCTTGGGGAGCCCCCAGGTCCAATCAAGATTGTAGTTTTAGGGAGGCAGATCTGCTACATGATTGCCATCCAGCAAGATAAAATCTAATGATTTTATGATAAGTCTGAAGAAAGAATGGTTAACAAGAGAATGGTCTTCAGGGAGTCTAGACAAGGGGGGGGGGGATTAAAGAACCATAGGGCATCTGTAATCTCTCTAGACTAAGAGAGGGGATATCGACCAAGAGCTGATTTCGTAGGTCTATGTACAGTGGAGCGGAGGCATCAGGCCATTCCGATTTGTGTAATTAGCCATTAAGGTTGCCACCTAACTCCCTTTGCTGTGACCCCATGCTCTAAGAAGTAATATGATTGTAATTATGTTCCCATATAAACTTTGTTGTGGGGAGAAAATTTGCTAGCCAGCTGACATGAGTATTATAGCCTACTTAGCAGTTAATTCTCATTATAAATAAATAAATTGGTTTTGGCTTATACATCATCTTTTTTGTGGGTTTTAATGGCATCAATCCTCCAGGTCCTAATCACTACTGAGCACATTGGAAAAAAAAAATAAGATTCTCACTATGCAAAGTCAGCACCACAGTGTGAACCGTATTGAGTCCACTGAAGATTGTCCTCCCTGGGAGCTTTACATCAACAATCATCCTTCCTCTTTATCTCTCTCATTTTGTCTACAGCTGTAATAAAATTCCAAAATGCCTGTGGTTTTTAATTCCTGCAGTTACCTTCACTCACACCCAGAACCACGATACCTTCTATTAAGTAATTGCTTCTTACAATAATACACGGTTCAGTCTAACCATTAGAATATATCATCATGGATGAAGACCTAACACATAACTATAGACATGAGCCCCTTACAAGCACGTACAGAGAGGCAGGAGTATATAATTGTCCTAACACTCACCATCTTTATTCTGTCCAGATAGCAACACATAGGACCCCTGCTGTCACTGCCTTTACCTCTATCCAGGATGGTAAAAGAGGTATCACCTTTTTCTGGACTCTGGAAGATCTTTTCCACCCAGCACTATCTATCCTATAACTACAATAGTCATTTTTTTAAACAAAATGGACCACTTAGGATATACCAGCATCTTGGCAAAAATCTAACACCACACGTCCTTGGAAGAGCTCTGGGAGCTTATGTCACATCTGTAAAACCTTCTACATTGGTGGGTATGTTTCATTGCCTCCCTATGAAGCTTCAGGTCTCACTTGGCCAAGAGAATGGAAAAGCCTTCAAGGGAGTATAGCATCATGGGTCCTCAGTATCATCTCCACGCAAGATTCACTGTGCACATTTTAAAAACAAAAGTTCCAGAAGTGAGTTACACCATTTAGTAGAGTCAGTAGAAATATCTTGGTACCTAGACCATGCTGTATAGTCATTGATTGCCACTATAACTTTGAGCATTTATGCACTAAATTCTTGGTATTACTTCCTGGTATTCGCTTTGATTCTTGGGTTTACTTGAAACTGCTTCCTGAACACTGATTTCTAGTACATATCTAACATGGTTCTAGTTCTCTCATTGGTCCAGTTCAGTGATAAGCAGGTTGTGACTGTATTCCACCAATCCCATTTGCTTCATAGTAACCTAGTGGAGAGTCATATAGAAATTCAGTTTTCCCTGTGCATGGAAGACTCATCCCTTTGGGCATAAAGTCTAGCTCTGTGTGCATCTGAAGAAAGGCAACTAATACTTGGTGAATGCCTACTTTATGCCAGGCTCTGTGCTGAGTGCATTAATTTGTAAATGATACTCAAGTTCACATTACTAAAAAGTGAAATATCCATTTATGGCATTTAATGCTCACCACACCTTTGTAAAGTCAGTGTTATAAATTCAGTTTAAACGTAGTGGACCCTCATGTGTCCACCCACGTAAACCAGTAATTTATCCAGCAGGCCCTTTCCAAATTTTCTCTAACTCTACTCTGTCTTTAGTGAAGGACAATCATTACAAGTGTATGCAGAATTCCAGGTGTGGGCACAAAATAAATTTGAACAAGATAATATTTTTTTTGTTACTGATGCTTTCAAAAATGGCATCTGGGAATATACCTGGGTGGCTCAGTCAGTTAAGCCTCTGACTATTGGTTTCGGCTCAGGTCATGATCTCATGGGTTCGGTTTGTGAGTTAGAGCCCCATGTTGGGCTCTGTGCTGACAGCATGGAACCTGCTTGGGATTCTTTCTCTCCCTGTCTCTCTCTGCCCCTCCCCTGGTTGCTCTCTGTCTCTTTCTCTCTCTCAAAATACATAAATAACCTTTTAAACAAATAGCATCCAGTAATTCTGGGGCATTTTTGAGTTTCATCAGAATCTTGAGAGAAGAGTCATTGTGGAGCCTTCCCTGAAAGATGCAATTCGCTTTCCTGAGTTGTATTGATGATACAAACCCCACTACTCTAAAACTTTAGTTGGAATGTTTTAATAAATGTGTATCCTTAAAACAACACTGAAGCTCATCTCTCTTCTCCCTCACAATGTTTTCCTATAGTTTTTCCTTATGGACATTCCTAATAATAATAAAAAGAGCTACCATTTACTGACTACTTACTACGTACATGCATTACGCTTTTTGATTTATGTGCATTTTCTCTTTTAATTCTCTTAATGACTCACATATGTCTCTTATTATTACTTCTGCACATGAGGAAACTGAGGTTTAGAGTAGTTAAGGAAATTATCCACGGATATAGAGCTGGTAATTAAGAGGCCAGACTCAAATACACACACATCTAACGACAGAGCCCATATTCCTACGTAGAACATTACTATCCATCTATAACAGGAGTCAACAAACTACCACCTGTGGGCTAAATCCAGCCTACTACCAGTTTTAAAAATAAAATTTTATTGGCATTCGGCCTAACTCATTTATTTAAATGTCGTCCATGGGTGCTTTCTTGCTAGGACATGTATGGCCCGCCAAACCAAAAATGCTTACTATCTGGTCCTTTACAGAAAAAGTGTCCTGACCCCTGATCCACAATATATTGAAGTATTAAATC